TCTCCTCCGCTCCGGGGCCAACTTACATTTTTTGCACGGGTTTCCGCCGCTTACGGCTGGCGTAAGTGACATTGGGGTTCATCCTGCTGCGTGCGGCGCGGCTCCAGCTCCTCTTCGCCTCACCGGGTCTCAGTGCAGGGTTTCCTTAAATATATCTGTGTGTATGTGTGTGTTTCAATTTCATTTAATCTCCCCGCCTCCTCCCCCCCGCCGCTGCCAAACCTCCGAAGCGACCCCGGAGAGGCTTGGGCGGCCCGCGGGAAAGGCAAGGCAGGAAAAGCTCCCGGCGACGGCGGAGAAAGGTTCGCTCGCCCTCTTCCCCCCACTTCTCTCTCTCTCTGTATAGAGGATGCCTCCGGTCTCTCTCGCTCTCTCTCAGGGAAACAGGTCGCGGCTCCGCCCGCAGCCGCCTCGGCCCTGCGTGCTCGTGCTCGCGCCCTTCCTCCTCCTCCTCGCCGTGCCGATCCCACTAGGGCTCTCGCCGCGGCACGGGCTCCCCTGAGAGGCGACCGACTGAGGAAGGCGAGAGACGGACGGAGGCGGGGTAAAGGGTGGTAGAGCCAGGTGCTCGGCGCCGGCAACACCCACTCGTCGTCGTCTCCGGCGGCGGCGGCGGCGTCCTCGTCGTCCCCGTTCTCCTCCTCCTCCTCCTCCTCCTCGCTCTGTCTGGGTCTGGCCGGCTGCGGGGCGGGGGCTCGGAGACAGGTGCGGAGGCGGCCGTCGCTCCGCCAGCCGCTGCCCCGTGTGTCCTACCCACCCCCCTTCACGCTTCCTCCTCAGGAGGAGCGAACGGACTGAGGCGGGCTGGAAGCGAAACCTCCGTTCACCTCAAGCCGGCGTTGCTTCGCCTCGCCGTTGTCGTCAGCAGCGATGTCCTCAACGGGGCCAGCGGGCCTCGTTACAGTCACACACACACACGAGCACGCACACTCTTCCCCCCCCCCGCCCCTCCCGCCTCGTCCCTCTTGGCGACAGCGGCTTTTTCTGCCGCGGTCTCAAAAGTCAGCGAGCCGGCCAACCCTTTGGTCTCCCTCGAGGCCCGACCCACCGCTCGCTGTGGAGGCCCCTGTGGGGCTCGGGCGGCGGCTTGGAGCGGTGTAAAGTGGGCGGCGCACCGCCATGTTGGGAAGGTCAGATGGGGGAAGGCGGGCAACCGAGGCAGCGGAGGGGAGCTGCTGGGGGAGAACCATAGCGAGCGGCAGACTCTCCTCAGGCGGTTCGCCTGATCAGGCTCCCCGCTTTTCCGAGCCGCAGGAAGGTTAGACTATCCACACGTTGAACTACCATCCTTGTGGCTCAGCAGTGTGAGGGAGCCTGCGAAAGGCGGCCTTGGCGTGTTAGCGTCCTCAATCATAACAAATTTAGTCAGAAGCTTAATATATCGGCGCATTTTCCTGTGCAACTGCCACATACGCACGTGCGCATGAAAGTTTCAGCTGTACGATCTGAAACGTGACCACTTAAGAAAGAGTAGGTCCCATTTAAATTTATTGGGATTGCAGGGATCCATAAGAGTTTTTGAACGAAAGTGCGCTCCCTGCATCTTTACTTCAAGCAGTGTATAGTGTGTTCTTAAACTATTTGCTCGAAAATCTGAGGTGCTGGGTGTGACACTTTTCTGTAATAAGGGAGCTCCACCTATTGTCTTTAAAGATGTTCATCTTTTTTGCAGGATCCTAAGAAACAAGCCTTAAAAAACCGTTTCATTGTGAAACCTCTATCTTGCCTTTTAAGGGGGGGACATTCCGGGGCAATCTGCAATGTATTAAACAATAAAATGTGATCCATAAAAAGTGTCTTAAAGCAACTTTACAAATAGAAACATGAGAAATAAAGGGGAGATCAGTTCAGCATGCTATATCCTTATGACAGCTGGAGCTATCCCTTTAATTATCCAAAGTCCCACCTCGCCATACAGTGTTTTTCTTCATTGATTCTAGTGGGAATGTACACAGAGATTTGCTACATGAATGCACTATTAGAAAGGGTATCAATTTTAAAGGATTTGTCTTCTTCCATAGCATCACCAACCTTCAAACATAACAGATGGCATTTATTGTACATGATCACATGGCAACAGATTCTATTAAAAGCAAAAATGAGTTTTGTGGTGCCTTGAAGACTCTTAACACATTTTACTACAGCTTGAGCTTTGCCTGTAATCTACCAACATACAGATTTCAGGATAAAGATGGATAGGATTGGACTAGAACTAACTGAATGAACAGAGGGAAGCATTATTTTCTAATGCAGCTGTAAGTATACCTTTTGACACTGTTGCAAATGATGACTTGGAGAGTGACTTAAGTGTTCCAGCCTTCTAGAAACAGCACCCTGTATTTCAAATAATATAAAAAAGAAAAATCAAAGAGCTTTGCAATATAGTTTTTCTTTTGGCAGTAAGTTCTCTTTAACCCCTTTATCCTTTTAAAATGCATTTTATGTTTTAGAGCTGTTTACTTTAGCTGTGTGGAGAGAAAAAAGATCAGCTAAAAAAAAAAGAAAGTGCAAGACCCATCAGAAATGCAAAAGAAGAAGAAGAAGAAAAGAAAAGAAAGAAAAAGAAAAAGAAAACCAGAAAGCAAACAGAGAGTACAAGACCCATCGGAAATGGGGAAAAAAACACCAAAAACAAACAAACCCTGCAAGACCCATCACAGCACAGAAACATAATCCCACCACCCAGCCCAAAACCATGCAGCAAAACACACCCAGAACAGTTTTTAAAAAGTAGAAAGCACCTTACCACGCAGTCCGAAGCCTCCTCCAATCATACACTCTCTAATTGCTGGGGCGAAAGAGCTACAAAGAAGCAGCATCTTCACCAACAACAGTTAGCAATTTGAATACCCCCGCCTTTTTCCCTGCCTTTTTTCTGTTCATAACTTGAAGCTCCGGTTGCAAGTAGAAGCAACATTTTGCAGCCAGAGCTGCTTGTAACTCAAAATGGTTGTATGTCGGGACGTTCGTAAGTCGAGACACCACCGTATCAGCAAGATGGCATCCAAAGAAACTCAAGAAAGAGAGCAAAACTTGAAATTAGCACATCTGCCAGGCCTAACATTAGGTGGGTTGAGAGAATCCAGAGAGGAAATGGAAGCAGATAAGAGAAATATATACTGTTCATAGAAGTAGGCTGCACCTGTTTCTTGAGAGGTTTGACCTAGCCATGGTGACAGATGCTCCAATTGCATCCCAGTTGGATTACTGTAACGCACACTATATGGAGCCACCTTTGGAAAGTGTTCAGAAACTCTAGAGAAGTAGTCCCCAACCTTGGGCCGCCAGATGTTCTTGGTCTTCAACTCCCAGAAATCCTGGCCAGCAGGTGGTGGTGAAGGCTTCTGGGGGTTGTAGTTGAAGAACATCTGGAGGCCAAGAAGATCCCAAATGCCATAGCCACATAGTTAACTGGGGATGGTTACAGGGAACATATGATTCCACTGTTTATAGCACCTCTGCTGACTGACACTATGTTTCTGGGCACAATTCAAAAAGCCCTGCCCAGGCTTTAAGAGGCCTTTCTCTTGGCCCCACCATTGTCACAGGAGCACTTGGCCTTCTCTGTCACTGCTCCCAGACTCTGGACCTTATTCCATGGGAAACCAGGCTGGCCCCATCTTGGCTGTCCTGCAAGCAGGCAAAGATCTTTCTGTTCAGGCAGGCTTTTCCTTAGTGACTAGCACTCTGAGAGTGTTATTCTTTAAAAAATGTATTGTGTTCTGTTGCTTTTAAATGTATTTTTCATATTGATTTAATTTACCTGTTACAATACCAATTTAGTGTTTAAAATATATTTGCATACTTACTTTTTTGCTTTTAAATATTGTTTTTTTATTGATCTAAGGTGCCTTGGGTCCTTTTAAGGAGAACAATGGAGTAAATACATTTTAAATAATAATAAATAGAGCAAGATTCCTGAAACACTGTAGGCCAGTGGACACATGTGGAATTCTAATAGTACAATATGAGTGGTTTCACATAACGGGGAGGGGGCTTGTTCATTCACAATATACCTACTATTGTGGTTCTAACTAGTAGGATAGGACTTTTGGGTTAACCTGAATGGGGAAAAACATCAAAAAGCTTCTTCCTTTTGTTTTCCAAATCTTTTGTGGCTTTATGATAGAGTGTCTCTGAAATACATAAGATTCAGGATTCCAAAAGGGGTTAATGAAACATATGGATTTCTTACAAATGTTGTATTTCAGATTACACTTTGATTTGAGACCTGTATACAAAATCACCTAGTTTGATATTCCAGTAAATAGTATCATTGCAAATCTCATGCGGAGAGTCAGCTGTGAATTAAAGTTCAGATAACAGCCTGGAAGTGGTGGGTGGGAAGTTTGAATCTTTAAAAGAGTTTGAAAAACTGGAGTGGCTGCTGTTTAGCTATTTGGTGGCTTGTTTGCTGTTGCTGCTGAGAGAGCTCATCTGACCTCCATTCTGGACTGGATTTATTCCTTGCTGGCCTGCTGGCCTAGTACTGCAACTGCCATTCCTCATTGTTACCCACTTTTGAAGTAGATTATTCTCTGCTATCTTGTCCATGCCTTTTTGGATTAGTTTTGAGTTTTTTTAGGACTTAATTAGCTCTCGGGCCAGAAAACAGAACGGGAAGATAGAAACAAATGAATCTGAAATATCTTGATATTTTCAAGTTTTCCAAAAGGACTGTTCCTAAAAGAACCTAAAACAACAAGGAGATTACCCCCCCCCAAACAAAAGCAAACCAAGGATTTTTCTCTGAACATCCCTAGTGACCAGTCAAGCAGTGCCTGTTTTCCCAGCAGAAAAAATGCTGAAACTAAGCTAGAAAAGAGCTTTTCCTAAGAATTTATAGACAAGTCAGAACTCCAAAACATGAAACAAATCCTTTGAAAATTCCACATTTTTTTCCTGTACCAATTTCATCTGTAATATGATTAACCTCACAGAAAAGTAACATGGCTTAAAAAAAAAAACGAATACAAGACAGTCTGAGTATACTGAACCCTGAGTTCCAAATAATCTATTTGCCTTTAACAAAGTTCAACCAAAAAAGCAAAGTGATACTACTACTGTAGTTCTCCAGCTCTCAAAATATGGACACATGATCCGGATAACCAGTAGTGTGGTTCTTCTCCCTGGTAATCATATGAAGCGCTATAAATTCTCAGCATTCAATGAGATAAAGAGAACAAGATATAAAGCTAAACACATCTATTAGGGAGTAAACTTAGTTCAGATTAGCTGTGAGTTAATAATTGTTTTATAAAGCACAGGAAAGGATCCAAGAGTACAGCACAGTCCTGCTGAAACTAAGTAAACTTTTTAAATGCAGAAACTAACATCAGAACTTGGTGGAAACCACAATTCCCCTGCTATGGGATATATTTTGAGATCACTTGCCAGGTGATGATAAATTTTGAGAGCTGGAATCTGTTCCTTAAAGAAAGAGAATAAAGGCAGTATTATATCTTTCTCAGTACAAAGGTGCTTAGTGAAATAAACTGAAATGTTTCTGGCTGTAATCCAATTTAGAAAGCTTTGATTATCAAGCCAATTTGAGGGAATGTCCTATTAATTTCAGTAGAACTACCTGTATTCCAGAATAAATAACTCCAAGTACTTGCCAGAATATTTTCATATATAGAGTGTAAATCATATTTTTTCTTGTCCCCTCACTCCCTTTAGTTTTTACATTATGTCTCATCACTGTTAATATGGATGAGATGTTATAATATGAATAAGCAGCAGGGTGGTCAATTTAGGCTATATATTACATTACAGAATTATTGGATTTAGTGTCCAGACTGCTGCTTAACATCTCTTTAAGGCTCATGTATGAAAGTGCATTGAGATGGTATTAGTAGTTGGCAAAAATCCTATTGGTTATGTGATTACAGTTGTGCAAGTAATAGAAGAAAGTTTGCTGGCTGTCAATCACATGCCCTGTAGTCCTCCAGTTGTGCA